CCGGCTCATTTTGATTTATTGTAGAGATGAGGTCTCGCTGCCCAGGCAGGTCTCGAGCCCACGGGCTCAGGCCATCCACTCACCTCAGCCTCTCAAAGGCGCGGGATTACAGGCTGAGCCACCGAGCCTGGCTCTTTATTTATTCTTTTTGAGTTGGAGTCTCACTGTGTCACCCAGGCTGGAGTGCAGCGGCATGCTCATGACCACCGCAGCCGTGACCTGCTGGGTCAGGTGATCCTTCCGCCTCAGCCATCCAGGTAGCTGGAACTACACACACACCACCATGCCCAGCTAGTTTTTTGTGTGATTTATTATAGAGACGAGGCCTTACCAAGTTGTCCAGGCTAGTTTCGAACCCCCGGGCTCATGCAGTCCTTTCACCTTGGCCTCCCACAGTGCTGAGATTACAGACTGAGCCACCACACCCGGCTGGTTTTTTATTTTTGGGTTGGAGGTCTCACTCTGTCTCCCAGGGTGCAGTGCAGTGGCACAATCATGACTCACTGCAGCTTTGACCTTCTGGGCTCAGGCAGTTATTTTGCCTCAGCCTTCCAAGTAGCTGGAACTACAGCCACCACACTCAGCTAATTTTTTGATTTATCGTAGAGATGAGGTCTTGCCAACTTGCCCAGGCTGGTTTCGAGCCCCTGGGCTCAGGCAGTCCTCTCGTCTCTGCCTCCCAAAGTGCTGGGATTATGGGTGTGAGCCACCGTGCCCAGCTTTTAGGTGATTTAAATATTTGAGATGTGTTTCATAGTTGATTTTCTTTTCATGGTTCAAGTATCCATCAAACCAAACTGACCATCGCTTGAGAAACTAGGTACAAGTGATCGTTTGTTCATCTGGCTTCGAGTCTGGTAGAGAATTCCGGAAAGCAGTGGGCTGAAAGCCCGGGCTGAAAGCCCATGCCAGCTCTGTTGCGCCCTCTGTCGGCAGAGAGACACGCACCTCCTTCTGCTGTGAGGGGGTGGGAGCAGGGCCATCTGGTAAGAGGCCCTCCAGGTTGGTGATTTGAGAGTGAGTTTCCTCTTTCTCTTCCCACTTCTGATTCTTAGGTTCATTTTAATCGGGATGGGTCCTTGATAGTTTCAAGCAGCTACGATGGTCTCTGGTAAGTGAAAACAATTTTGCTTCATTTAATCAACAGATACTTAGGAAAGGGCTACTCTTGCCTTGTGCTGGCCTCTGTGGGCACAGCCATGACAACAGGTGGCACCGTCCTCAACCCTGTGGTGGGGCTGCACAGTGCAGAGTTGGGGTGCAGGGCAGAGGGTGAGGGGCTGTGTGGCTGGGAGGACGTGCTCGTTCCAGGGACACTGACAGCGCTCTTCGCGAGCTTGAGGAAAGGAGGTGGTGTGGGACCTTTGAGGTGGAGGTGTGCTGACACGGAAGGCCTTGAGAGCATGCCATCCTGCCCTGTTGGAGACATGTCGGAGTCCTGGGCAGGGGATCAGCACAGACCCTGGCAGGGAGGGGTAGGCGGAAGGGGTGGGGCTTTCTGCAGGATGTCCCTGAGGTCTGAGTGGGTCCTGCCTGCAGATACTGGAGCTATGTGGAAGTGTGCGGGATTCTTTAGGAGCCAAAAGGGAAGATGTGGGCGTGTCTCAACAACTCTGTGAAACTGATGGGGGGAGAGGGGACTGGGGGCGACGTTGCCTGCAGAGGGCGGCGTTGTGGGGTTAGCGGCAGGGGCAGGTGTGGGATGGAGCACGTGGCCTGGAGAGAGCGGCACTGGGACTTGGTCAGGTGTGGGTCCTGGGGAGGAGGGCGGTGTGTAGCCACAGGCGGACTGGAAGCTGTAGCGGGGCTTCCTCGTGGGCTGCAGGAACTTTCCGTGGAGACGTGCACTCCATTGATTTTCCCACCTGACCCTCCATGACTGTCAGCCTGACGGACCCCAGAGGCCATGGTCCGTAGTCAGCAGGCACGGTCCTGTCATAGGTCTTGAGAGATGGGTCTGGAGGGGATGATGGTGGCAGAGTCACACCTGATCCCTCCTGTCCACAGGTCCACGGTGCACAGGTCTGGGCCATCCTGTGGCATGCGCTCTGGTTCCAGCACTGTGGTGGTGCAGGAGCCGAGGTCATCAGGATGTGCCAAGGCACAGGTGGGCTCGTCTGGGCCCCTGGGCTAGCCAGCAGTGGCCAGACGCACACCTGACTGTTTATCATAAGGGATACGACGCAGAAACAGCCATGTGGGGCCGGGCTCAGTGGCTCAGCCTGTCATCCCAGCACTTGGGGAGGCTGAGGCAAGTGGATTGCCTGAGTTTGTGGGTTTAAGACCCACCCGGGCAACTTGGCGAGACCTCGTCTCTACAATAAATCAAAAATTAGCCAGGCGTGGTAGTGTGCACCTGTAGTTCTGGCTACTCGGAAGGCTGAGGCGGAAGGATTGCTGGAGCCCAGCAGGTTGAGGCTGCGGTGGCCGGTAGCGTGCCACTGCACTCCAATCTGGGCGACAGAGTTAAGACTCGAACTCAAAAAAAAAAAAAAAAAAAGCAACCATGTGGGAGATGCCCAGGGCGAGGTGCTGGGCCCTCTTGGGTGTCCCCCTCCCGGCACCTCCCAGTGCCTGCTGACACGGAACCCTTGGTGTTTTCTTAGCAACATGGAGCAGCCTCAGAACACCTATGCACTTGGCTCTAAAAGCTTTCTAAAGAAAGCAGAGCCGGGTGCAATGGCTTAAACCTGTAATCCCAGCACTTTGGGAGGCCGAGGCAAGAGGAATTGCCTGAGCCCAGGTGTTCCTGGGCAACTTGGTGAGACCTCATCTCCATAATAAAGAAATTAAAAAAAAAATAGCTGGGTGTGGTAGTGCACACCTGCAGTTCTGGCTACGTGGAAGGCTGAGGTGGAAGGGTCGCTGGAGCCCAGCATCAGCTGGGGTGGCCGTGTGTGTGCAACTGCACTCCAGTCTGGGTGACAGTGAGACTTGAACTCAAAAAAAAAACAAACCAGAAACTCTGGGGTTATCCAAACGACTCCAGGCCACAGAAGATGAGACGCTCTCTGGTTCATCTTATGGACCCAGCATGACCTCACTACCAAGCCTGATGTCACAAAAGAGAGCCACACAGGGCAACTCAGTCATCGTGTTGGAGCCAGAATTCCAGAGGGAATCTTAGCAGATCGGTCCAGCATGTATCAGAAAGCAGCGCTCCATGACCAAGTGAGCCTGTTGAATTATGCAAGGTCAGTCAGGACACAACGCCAGGGAATCTGTCCTCTGATTGTATCAACAGATGAAAGGGCCGGGCTCGGTGGCTCAAACCGTAATCCCAGCACTCTGGGAGGCTGAGGTGAGTGGATTGCTTGAGCCCGCGGGTTCGAGACCCGCCTGGGCA